ATAAAGTGTGGGGAGGCTTCAATTCGAGATGGGCTTCTTCCCGAGTTTAAGCCCATTGGGCTTCTACCAAATATACGTACCATCTTGACAAAATTCACCGCGGTAGAAATCGGTGCACGCACTTTGGTGAACAGTCATTTCGGCAGGATGCGCCATTGAGGCACGGATGACCCTGTGCACAACGACCAACGTAGCTCTAAATACAATAGAAATTCCAACTTCAATTATTACTTATAAATATGTTAAATGTGTACATTCGACTTTCACAAATAATTCCTTATTTTTAAAACTCACCCTGGTATGCTTTGCCTTGTTGATTATTATATAGCTTAAGATTTTGTATTGGTTTTCATTTATTCATTTATTCGGTCACCATACAAAAAATGGAAACTTCATAAAATTGATAAAAAGTTAAAAATTAATGTAGACATTTTTAATTATACTCCTTCGATAATTGGAAGGTTCTGAATATTTACGAGCTGAACTTGGCTTTCATTCTATACGTTTTATATATTTCTTTATTAGCGTCAGTCTGAAACGATCAATATTTAAGAAGTGCAGCTGTTTTTCGTCTCACGTATGCCTAAATGCAGGTATGGTATATTGTCACACCATTTTTGTATCCTATTTTTTCATTAAATAAAATGTGTAGGCATAAAATACAATTATAATCCATCTAGAACCAGTCAACTATTCATAACTATAAAGAGCTGAATATGGCTTTCATTCTATCCGTTTTATATATTTCTTTATTAGCGTCAGTCTTAAACGATCAATATTCAAGAAGTGCAGCTGTTTTTCGTGTCACGTATGCCTAAATGCAGGTATGGTATATTGTCACACCATTTTTGTATCCTATTTTTTCACTAAATAAAAAGTGTAGGCATAAAATACAATTATAATCCATCTAGAACCAGTCAACTATTCATAACTATACCTGGTCTCTAATTGGTGACCACATTCAATACTTTTATATGTGGTGTTCATGAACATAAAAAGAATTTTAAATTGGGTCACCAATGTAGATTTTATTATTAAAATGTGAATCCAGGATCATACATCATAAGTCTTATTAAAATATCTATGTAAACGCACAACGTCATTATTAATGTTCTTCTCAACAGATTATGTACTATGAATCTAATACCTTATTGCCTTCCCACTGTTTAATAAATAATATATCCCAATGTTACATCATTTACAGTACATTGATTTCTTCATTGCATTTGACTGCGATGATCACGACTTTCTTAGCAAATTCGGTATTTCTGTTAATTCAATTGCCTTTCAAGTTATTTACAACAAAGGGTTACATCAAACCAGGAGTCACTCAAAGATCAATCCTTGGCCTCCCCCTACTTATTTTCAACCTGGTTATAATAATCTTTCCTACTGTGTATAATATCCTGCCTCCCATACTTATTTTCGACCTGTTTATGTCAATAATCTCTTCTCCTGCTTTTGGTCTAGGCCCTACATGTCTTTTGTTTGCCGATGATTTTGAAATTATATCACAATCTGATACTAGAAGGCTATGGGGAAGATCTGGAAACTTTGGACAGCTGGTCTAATTGAGGCAGCAAGCCAAAATATAAAGAGGTGACTTTTACTCTCAATAAGTCTCAAGATTTTATTTCCCTTCCACATCGATGGACATATTTTATAAAAAATGTTAACAAGCTTAAAGAACTTGGTTCAATTTTTTAAATTTTAAGTTAAATTTTAATCATAATGTCGATGATATTAGCCTAGTCTAACAGAATGCTTGAATTTCTTAAACGCAATTGCTGATACATACAACTTAACTCCTAAAAGTTTTTTTTCTTCACTTGTTAGACCGCACATTGAATATCGCACTGATACTAACATGCATAAAATTACCACACAGGCTTCAAAAGTTGATCTTGTTTAAGAACGTTCGCCTCTTATGTTTGCAATATTAATGTATCCACCTTGAGTCCTAGACAAAATTATTTTGATTCTCATTTATTTAAAAAAATGTGTCATAAGTATACCCTAAGTAATCTTTATTGCTTCCCATGAAATCATTACAGCGACGAGACAAAAAATTATCAGTGAAAAGATTAAAATACAAAAAAAAAAAAAAATCAAAAATCAGAAAAACAGTTTCACGAACTCACTTTTAAAAAATTAAACATTGAAAGAAGAGGATAAACTTAAAGCCCGAAGGCTTGTTTCAGAAGGAGTCCCCAGATAAAGTGTTTTTGTTGGGTATTTTTAGGGAGGGGGGGTTAATCTTTTTACTATCTTCTTTAGTTCATGAAATAATTTGTCGATGTCGTAATTCTGTCTCATCATTATTTTATGTTTACTTTGCTAGACTCACGGAGGAATGTTACAAAAATGGTTTTGTTGTTAGGTTGCCAAAATTATTATCTTCTTAAACTTGAACTTGATGCTACTTTCAATATATTAAAACTCATTTAGCAATTTTGAACGTATGTTAGGCATAAATAGACCTATAACGTATTTAATATATTTTATATATTCCTTTACGTTTTTCCTGAAACTTTGTTTATTTCTGGTGGCTTTTCTTAATTCTCTTTTCTGGATTTGTATAATAAAATGTATTTTAAAATTATAAATAATATTTTATTGAAATCTATCCTGTTATTGGTAGACCCGCTGATGGGATGTGTAATGAAATAGACTATAAAGCCGTGGATACTTCGAATATAGAATGTCTCTTCCTTAACACAGTATTTATTTCGTGGTAATATACCGTATATCATGTACATTAATCACTTCATTGTGAAATTTGTTATTGTTTTGAAGAAATTCGTGATTGAAAATAATATATTTGCATTTGCAATGTCTAGGTAAAGGTAGACTTTAAATAGGTAGCTCTTACCTGTACAGAGTTTTCAGCATTATTTTGCATATCGTAAAACCATACACCTGGAGCATGTTTGAGTAACATGTCGGCTGACTTGCTGTCATATTCATACAGATTGCACAACGATATATTGTCTGCATAGGAGAATGCCAAACAGGACTTATTTTTACGACATGTCTGCATGCATGTGTATCTTGAGACTCCATGGATTGTCTCGTTTTCATTCTCCATAGTAGTATTTTTACGTGCGTAAAAGTGAGCTGTGGCGGTCGTTTGTACGTCTTTGATGTCGCATTTTGTATAACCGGCAGCCAAATTGACGACCATGATGGGTATTATTAATGTAGCTATCATTTTTATTGCAATGGAGAGGACTATTTATTCAGTCAAGTTACTCTGTGCCGACTGAGACGTGATAAAGGGATACTCCTTTTATGTAGCGCAACTAGCAACTAACATTTCCAGTTATTGATATTGTTACAATATATATTTTATTACATAAGTTATATGTTTTTCAATATGTTTTATATCTGTTTATTGACAGTTAAAAAAAAGAGAGAAATAAAGAAATATTGATCGCCCAAACATCTGAGGTTATTTCCGGGCGTCTAGAAAACAAAGATTTCCCAGGGCCTAGGGCATACCTTCGGACCCCTATGAATTATAAATATTATTTTATTGAATTCTATCATGTTATTGGTAGACCCGCTGTTGGGATGTGTAATGAAATAGACTATAAAGCCGTGGATACTTCGAATATAGAATGTCTCTTCCTTAACACAGTATTTATTTCGTGGTAATATATATCATGTACACTAATCACTTTATTGCGAAATTTGTTATTGTTTTAAAGGATTCGTGATTGAAAATAATACCGTATATTTGCATTTGCAATGTCTAGGTAAAGATAGACTTTAAATAGGTAGCTCTTACCTGTACAGAGTTTTCAGCATTATTTTGCATATCGTAAAACCATACACCTGGAGCATGTTTGAGTAACATGTCGGCTGACTTGCTGTCATATTCATACAGATTGCACAACGATATATTGTCTGCATAGGAGAATGCCAAACAGGACTTATTTTTACGACATGTCTGCATGCATGTGTATCTTGAGACTCCATGGATTGTCTCGTTTTCATTCTCCATAGTAGTATTTTTACGTGCGTAAAAGTGAGCTGTGGCGGTCGTTTGTACGTCTTTGATGTCGCATTTTGTATAACCGGCAACCAAATTGACGACCATGATGGGTATTATTAATGTAGCTATCATTTTAATTGCAATGGAGAGAACTATTTATTCAGTCAAGTTACTCTGTGCCGACTGAGACGTGATAAAGGGATACTCCTTTTATGTAGTGTAACTAGCAACAAACAACCTATACGTGTTTTGTTTATGGTAATATCATTAAAATTCTGAACATGATGTCTGTCTTAATGTGCATTTAATCGAATCCGATTATTTTCAGATCGGAAAGCCCTACGATCGGAAAATCGATTCAGTGTGTAAAAATAGGAACGTTGGCGTCTGCGCTTCGCTTGGATCCGACGTGAATGCCGCTTTCATCAATAAATAAACTACTTCAGAAATCTGTTATCAAGACAAAGGCTATGTTCTCACACGGCTGCTAACCGTTAGCTGCCGTGCGTTCATCCGAGAAAATCCCGATCCGGATACCAAAAATATGATGAATCACTGGCCAATAAGAAACTGGAAATTGTAAACGCGTACGTGTGATTGGTTGATGATAGAAACACGCTCAACTTGCTAACCGATAGAGATTGCTAACAGTTAGCGGTATCCGGATACTGCTAACGGTTAGCGCTAACCGATCGGGCGTTCTCCCGCAGGTGCTAACGGTTAGCGCTAACGGTTAGCTCCCGATCCGGATACTAGGGCTCTCGTGAGAACCAGGCTTTATTTATTACCATTTTCCAGTTATTGATATTGTTAAGTATATATATTTTATTACATAATTTATATGTTTTTCAATATGTTTTATACATCTGCTTATCGACAGTTAAAAAAGAAATATTGATCGCCCAAAACATCTGAGGTTATTTCCGGGCGTCTAGAAAACAAAGATTTCCCAGGGCCTAGGGCATACCTTCGGACCCCTATGGTAGTGTAATCTCTTGATCGACCCCCTTTCGGACATCTCTGAACCATCCCGCGAGCGATGGAGAGGGATAAGTGGTGGCGCCAGCGGTGGCCGGGGACCAGCGCCCCCTGTCGGTGAGAGCTGGACCCCCCCCCCCCCGGGTTGGGGAGAAAAACTACAATTCGTCGTGGAGATATATATATAAACTGTTTGTAGTGATAATATATAAACTTATATACTTATATACTATATACTTATATACTCAAGTCTACCATCGATGTCTGTATTTTCATTGTATTTGCATTTACCATTGTCTCTATATTTATCTATCTTAGTTTGAACACAAGTGCTTACCTATTCATTGGTGCTCCAAAGTTTGGTTGTTACCCGGCCTGATATGTTGTCATAGAGGTTAGTAGTTACAGGGCGGATTTAGGGGATTGAGATAATTGAATGGATACTCAATTCCATAGAAAGGATGATTTTTATTAAAAAAGAAAAAAAAACAAAAACCAAAAACACCATAGGAGAGTTCTATTCACAAATTCACTTGCTGAGAAATAGAACACATGTAATTTGCTCAGTGTTAATATACAGTAGCGGATTTTGTTGTTTGACGACTTTTTTTTAACAGATTTTAGATAATTAGTTTTGCTTTTTGCTGATTTTGTGATTTTTATGCTCGATGTTGCTAAGAGTTTATTCCTGATTTATCAATACTTTTTTTAACGAATTAGAATAGCGTACGGTATATTTGGAGTTACTTAATTTCCCTTTTTTTTTTTGTTTTTTTGATAGATTTTAAGTTATAGTAAAATGAAAAGAAAGGTAAAAAGGAAAAAAGAGAAAAAGGGGAGAAGAAAGGAAGAAAAAAAAATGAAAATGTTTTCTTGGTTGGCGGTAGTAAAATAATTTCAAGATATGTATATGCCTTATATCATTGTTGAATAAAAGTGGGTGAAACCCAAAGGGAAAAAAAAGACCTTAAACTTTATCATGTTGTCTAGAAGGGAAATTTCTCTTTTGAAATGGGTACATTTATGAGCCTTTGCATGTTGTCAAAAATTATGTTTGAGATGTTCGTGGAAGAGGCACTAAAATCCAAATTTCTTTTAAAAGACATACACCTATTTTTTTTTACTTATTTGTTACTGAAAACTACCATGCTAGATGGTCAAAATCGACTCAATACAACCTCATATTCCTCAAATGTGCTGTGCCCCTTGGTCCCCACCGGGGGCTCTGCCCCTGGATTCCGCCGGGGCCCTAGGCGGCCCCCCCC